ACAACTCAACATAATATATACTACTACATGTGTTAAAGAAATTATATAAGATAAATAAATGAATTAGAATTACCAAAATATATAGCTGTACTCTACATACTGTGGTGGGAAACTGCAAGTTAAAAGTACGCAGCAACAATTTACAAACTAATTCAAATGTAATGAAAAAAATCTAGGAAATCTTCTAACAGCAAGAAATTATTCAAAGACCAGCTAAACAGCTAAACCTAACTTGTAAGTAAGAAGTTATTAAGTTTGAAAGATTGAGTGGCATGTTCAAGTTTTAATGAAAATTACCATCAGCTTAAATTTAAAAAAAAAAAAAAAAAAAAAAAAAAAAAAAAAAAAGAGTAAAAATAACTGACAAAAGAGCAAATTAAACCCCAAATTATGATAAAATTTAAGATGAGAACTGAAACTTCCCTTTTCAGTTTCTCCTTAACTACCTCACCTTTTTCTGTGATGCCATATAGAAAGGCTACAAAAATGTTTTCTGTGTAGGCCTAGAAAAGAAACAAAACATAGTAGCCAAAATAAATCATCCTGCTTTAGGGACATATTTCCTCATACTTATCCCCAAAATTCTGATTCTTAATCTGGTCTTTGGCTGTGTTTACCTACTTCCTATCATTTCCACACTACACACCTCTCCTTAGGTAATTTTAAGTAATAGAACATCACTTATTTGGCCTCTTGTCCAGGAAGAAAAATAACCAGTTATTCTGAGGACAGTAAAATAACCAAATTAACCACACTGAATTACAAGAATTAAGACAGCGTAAGACCACTTTGAATATTTGGCCTAAAAGATATTTGCCTCTAGTTCCTGTTAAAACAGGAAAATATCTAGATTTTTTTCTTATCGCAACAGCTAAAAAGCCACTTGCTTTGAATGAAAAAGCAAATGGAATTTTGCCTGTGCGTGTGTGTTAAAATATCTATTCCACTGCTCCAATCCTTCTGCTTTGCAGCCAAACAAAGCAACAGAAAGCAGCCAACTACTCTAACTAGTGCTATTCTGAGTGACAAATTTTCATGAGAGCAGACATTCCCAGCATTAGATTTAACTCTTTCATTCCAGGTGTAATTTTGAACAACAAACTCAAATACCTGCAGATTAAAATAAGACTTCCATTTCCTTAAACTTGACTTTGTAGAAGTTTTGATTCTGAAATTATCTGGTGGCATCCTAGTCAAGCCACCCACTTCTCTTCCTCAGGTTTTCCATTAACTTTTCCATGTATGCATTAAGGAAATACAACTGTATTTTCTTAACACAATCTGCCCCTACAACTTGATATTAATCATTTTTTTTCCATGCCTCAGGTTCTCTCAGCATGCTGGCACTCGCTATCTTTTATGTGAACTATGCTGACTTCTCACTCCCTCTGACAAGCTCAATACCTCAGCATCTTTTGCACAGCTTACATCCTGCCTGTATTTCATCTTGATTTTCATTTCACAAACCTTAAGTCACAAACTATCAATTATGCCATAATATTACTTCTTCACCATGCGACTGATTTTCAAGCCCATAGACTTATCAAACAACTTGGGAAATGGAGGTACTACCAATAGCTACCTAATCTGAGAGAGGATATGGGTAAATGTCTCCCAGGCCTGCAGAGGAACTAGCATTCAACAGCACTGAAGGCAATGCTTTAAAACAAGAAATGTTATTTCACTGTAAAGAAGAAAGGGTTAATATCTGCAACTTTACTTTCACTTCTTTATCCTCTCATCTCAGACAGAAACATCCCTTTTCCTCTATATGTATTACCTTTCCCTAGAAGCCTTCCCTTCTTCCAAAATAGAGTTTGCATCCCATTCCCAGTATTGACACAGTTCAGATCTAGTGAGTGTCAGTTCTAACATTTGCAATCTTTCATTTATCTTGTCTTTCTGGAGCTGTGACTTCCTGCAATTTTGAGTATTTCTTCCTCTATAGCTGATAGGAAAAAACCTGCTGAGTACTCAAGCACTGCTGTGCTGAGGATCAGGCAAAGGGGGACTCGGACTCCCTGTGGTCCTTAATATTCTTTCAGCCAAGAGACAAAAAATACAGTTAAACTGCAGAAAAGAAAAAAAGGAACTATGTAAAGTTATATGGGTTTTGAAGATAAGAGCAATATATAACTTCTTATATTTTATGTTTATTAGAAGGCAGGAAGTCACAGCCTGGTACTACTCTCCTTTAAAAGCAAAAGAAACATTGCTGTACCTGTGAAGACCCCACTCACGTCCTTCCTCCTATATGATCATCACACACCACCTAGAGAACAATTGCTGACAAGCACAACCAGCTTTGGATATATGGCAAATAGTTGCCTTGTCCTGAGAACTATAGACTTTGCTGCAACATTTACCCAGGCGTTTTCTTGTCTAAATGTTGCACTAGGAGAAATGAAGGAGTTACAGGAGGTATTTGGTGGTGTATGAATCCATCCATTACAACACAGTACTGCAGTGCAGTAAAGGCCAACACTAAATGAAGAATTTGTGCTTTTTCACCACGCTATTTTGCATACAAACCTTGACTCTTCTAACAGTACAATATGCATTTACATAGTATCTTAATTAATGGAAAAAGCAAAGGAATACTGCGAAACAGATAACAAGCAAAACTGAACCCATCAGCAACTGATGGTCCCAAATGAAATGAAATACATACAGTTTTTGCTAGAAAGAAAAGAAGAAATGCCAAATTTATCTCTGTTGATGGTAGGTTCTACAAAAGAATTCTCATTGTTGGCAAAATTGGTAGGGAAGTTCAGCATTTGACACACGTTGGATTTTACATGTAATGAAAAGGAGCATTATTTCAAAACTTCAAGTCAGATATTTATGTCCAGGAGAAAAATGTTTTGAGAATTTTTGCAATAGATCATGTAGGATTCAAAGAGCAGCACTTATTGCTTTTCTTCTTCTGTAAAAACAAACAAAAAAACTCTTTTGCTTTACTTCATTTGTAAATCGCCATTAAATTCTGTTGGATTTTAGGGCACATTCCTGACTAGTGGCATAATATTCATTAGCTCTAATATTAAGTTTAACATTAGTAGATGTTGGGCTTTCATTTTGCTCTTGTCCAATAAACCTAACTTTTTGTTTATTTAAATTCTAACCTAGAAGTTAAAAACAATAGTAATAAAAATAATAAAATATTGCCCTAGTGCACATTCTGTGAAGTTTGGCAAAATTAACACTTCTGCACAATTTCAGCAGCTGCAACCTGTAGGCAGCAGCTGAGTTGAAGACCAAAAACGGATATTACGCACATTTGATATTAACAGAAATAGGAAAGCTTCTGGCACTATACTGCAGTTTGAATGGAAAATCAGATGGCATACAAAGGTCAACTCTTCTGCAGGCTGGAAAAATAAATCTTGCAGGCAATGTTAGTATGAATTCAATAGAAACATCATTTAGTCACAGAGTCTAATCTCAATCAAGGTGCTGCCCTGGATAGCATTACATTCTTTCTGTGAATGAATTAGAGGACACTGAGACATGCTGTGGAGACTCTGGTAGCTACTACTGAGGAGAAAATATCACAGACAAAGAAATAATCAACATGAATTTCACACTAAGGCAGCCACCTGTAACTACATCTGAAAGAAAAAACAATAGGTATTCTGAAAGTCAGTCACTGAAGTACAGGCTTGGGATTGAATACAGTATGGGAAAAGACCCTTCAATCAACCCTACTTTAAATTGACACCCACATTCAGAATAATATACATTGTACAAGTGTCCATTCTAGACTTCTAGATAACATCTGTTTTCTCAGTAGGTTCCCTTAGTGAAGAATTCTCATCAACATATTTTTTACCGCACTAAAGCACTGGACATCATATTACGTAGCAAAGGATGGTTTTACCATATTACCTAGGGTTTCTTCTAAAAGAAGTACCAGCTTCCTTTAGCTTATAGTGGCATATTTAAATTTCTTTCTACGGGAAAATATTGACTAGTTATGTGTAGGTACCTATTTTTGCTTTTCTTCTTACAACTCAGAAAATGACCTGGGAACGTGGGTGGGTCTACTTAGGAAAACACAGAAATAAGTTAAAGGGTGTTTTTAATACAAGTTCTAGACTGCCATTCTGCAAGCAGCTCCATGATCTGCAGTTGCAGCTTCCATTCACGTTCCTGAAAGCACAGCACCAAATCAAGTACAAAGTGTATCTCCAAGCAGGATGATCAGGAGAATCCCAAAATGAATTTTATTGCCTCTTACTGACCCTCAATGCTATCCTTCATTATGTTCCTCTCCTTCCCTTTCCATCTCAATCTATGTCTCGTAAGATGTCAGAGTATCCAGAGCACTAAAGCTACTGAACTACATTTAAAAAATTCCACAAAATCTAACTGTTCACACACACAGAATTTCACATATCTGCAAGTCATAACTCTACTACATACAACACAAAAAATTTCAGATGATATGATTTCACTGGAGCTGTGCAAAACTTTAGCAAATCAGAATTGCCTTTTAGCTTTTTTCTTTACTCAGAGCAGGTTTCAGAAAGAAGGAATCTGCAAGCTAGCCTGGTCGCAAAGGACTACATTATTAGTTGTCTCATTCAATCTTGAGAAATCCATCAGCACCACTTCCCATAAGCTTTCATGTCAGCAATAACCCCTCCAGCCCAGTTTGGTTCATTTGATCCCTCGGTAGTTCCCAATCTAGTTACGAATCACCAAATTTGTTTGGAACCATCCATTTGTTTGGATTCCAGTTCCCCATGGAAAGAAAAACAACAAAAACAAAGATATGTTAATCTTGTACATAATATGTTTGAGGAGCTGGGTCTTTAAGTCTGAATTCCCATTTGCCAATAAAGAGCAATGTTAGCTAGCATCTTAATGGAGACCAACAAATATTTAACAGCAAACAAAAGGATTGTCTTTTACCAATTTTCTTCTCTTAATCAACTGATACTGAGTGTTTATTTTCAGTTAATAACAGCTAAACAAGAAGAAAGAAACAGCCTTTTTATCATAATGAATTCAACAATCTAAACATTCATTTACAGACATATCTTGAGGGTTGGCAGGAGAGGGGGGAGGAAGGAAGAGGAGAAAAGGCTCTAAAACTCTCTAGAGAGCTAAAATACAATGCAACTGATGCAAAACAGCTTAGTTATTTCCCTTTGGTCTTTTAATCACAGCACATTGTTGCATCAGTTTTACTGAATCTATTCTAGAAAGCACTCTACATATAAAGCAGGTTTATTGTTCTAATCCAACTTGCTGATGCAACAGTGGAAGAAACTTCAGCCTCTTTCCCTGATCCTCTAAAGTCCTCTCAAAACAACAAGCATGGGAGAAAGGATGAAAATCTAGTGTATCCACCATATACAAAGATACATTATTGCATGATATACAGGTCACCAAATCCTGCTGGAAAATGCCAACAGCAAATTTCACAATGCAAAAAACCAAACTTGTTTGGAAAGAATTATTTCAATATGGCCACCAGAGAGACAAAGTTAGAATAGAATAGGATGTGATGCAATATGATACAACACAACAGGATAATAGTCTAGCTGGAAGAGACTTTCAAAGATCATCTAGTACAATTGCCATAAGTTTCAAAAGAATGAGATTAAGTTCAGCAAACTCATAATAGAAGCCCTAGAGATGGCTTTAAAATAACTTAAGGCAGATGTTTATTAAATAAACAATATACATCTAGCAATGCGGCCTGTGTTATTTTGTAGGTAAACAATGTTACAGCAAGGAACACGGACTTTCTTCTATTTTGCATTTCACTCAAATACATTTTAAGACAATTACAGCAGCAAAATGACATACCACATACCAATCAATACCATTATTGAAATATCACATACCAAAGAAGTCAAAGTAATTTAATCAGCTTTCTGGGTAGGCTTCAAAGGTGTGCAAAATTCACCAGACTATAAATGTGGGAGATAAAAATATACATTCAGTAACCTTACAAAATGATTCACATGAAATAACCAGAAATAAAAAACAACCTACACCATTTGAAAGAAGAAATGCCAAGATGGTGGCAATACATTCAATATCCTGAAGGTTGCAGTAAAAGAAAAAGCCATGCACGAATAAAGGGGGAAATATGCTACAGGGAAAAGAAACAGGTTCTTTTTGTCCTTAGACCAGTGGAATTAAACCAAGAGTCTGTGCTACTTTTGCACATTTTAGAGAACATCATCAGAGAATTTAAGTTGTAATAGGTTTACATAGCACAGGAAAGAAATTAAATAGAATTTGCCATCATACCCATTGCTAAATAAATTACTTATCTGTCAGGCTTGACAAAGTGATAGCATAAATAACTTCCAAGGATAATTTGCTAATACTTGGCTAGTTGGTTTGATTCAGCAAATGGCACTGATAACCCAGTCTGATTTTCAGAAGAGCAATGACATGGCTTAATCCTTAATCTCCACTGCAGAAAATTGCTGCCTATTGTAAGAACCAATGATTTACCAGGGTAAAATGTATCATCCAATGTATACACTGCAGAATCTCACAGTAGCTATTTGTAGCATTGTCTCAGAATGCATAAATCTATTTAAAAAAAAAAAAAAAAAAAAAAAATGTAATTTAAAAACTACAAAAAACAGCAAAATAACACTATTTGATAGAGCAAATTTTAAAGTACAAAACGCTATTTTCCAAAATAGACACCACCATTAGCTGTGTATTTTCCACCAGCAATGAGCAAGAGCCTGCCTGCTGTGCTTGTAAGATTCTGCACCAGTGGAGGTAACTCACTGTCGCCATTCCTGAGATACACCACCTACCTCTCACTGTGCTCATATTCTCTGTTTGGCCTTCAAAAATATTCAGCAAGCATTGATGAATAACAATGGGCACCATTTTTGCTTCACGGAGGAATTCAGTTCCACACATTTGCTTCATATGTACTTCCATGTCAGACGCCATTTTGTCAGATTGCCCCTCTGCTGCCATCTGTCATACAGCAACAAAATGGAATGGAATACTGGTGGGAAGGTGCAGCCTCTACTGTCATACTACCAACATCTACCTCTAATATCATGGGCCAACATAATAAAACAGGAGGTATTATTTTCACAGCAGCCCTCCCTCATTATTGAAATACTTTACGTAATCAGACTGTTACTAGTTGCCCTCTTACATCTTGTTAGATAAATTAAAACAGCATCTCAGAGTTTGCATGTGAAACCACTGCTCGAACTTTGGTAAAAATTTGTTTATCCATGAGAGACTGTTGCGATGCAGTACCTGTTCCAAGTACTTTGTGCATTTGTTACCACGTATGATTTCCCTTCTATCCTTATCTACCTGTCACTCTTTTCATTTTTAAATTCTAGACCTTCAATTGCTGCTGTGGCGGTTCTATCTAGCACTGTGAGAGTAATAAATAGCACATTGATCACTGGGCATGCTTCAAGGAGAAAAAACACCTGCACAGGCAAATCAGAATGGTATAGAGGATGTCCCACTGACAACTGTAAATACAAAATGTTAAGTTCATTTTCATTGCTGACTGTGCCACATCAGCTCTTCCTACACTAGCTGCTAGTCTAGAACTAGAGGCTAGTAGAGTAATACCCTCTCAAAGATATCCAACAGCAGATAATGTAAATATTTCTATCAATAGAGGCCTTTCCTGGAGCAGAATTTAGATTATTTAAGAACCCAAAACAGAATGCAGAAAATCAACTCCTGCTGGACATGAACTATTTATTTCTCCTATTCACACAGAAGAGGTAGGCATTCCAAAAAACAGAGGAATGTGGGCATAAGATAACTGCATGTTTCCACTACATTCCCTCACCAGCACTGCAGCAGCAGAACTATTTTGCTGCACTGTCACCAAGATTTGATTTCTCAATCAGCTAAGAACTGCATAAACTTCAGAACAGTGAGGGATGATAACTCTGGAGACCCTGTCCGAACAGTCATGTCAGTATCGTCTCCATTCAAACCAACTGATGTGTTAATACAAAAATGGAAGGCAAGGATAACCTTCAAACAATTAAAATTTTCAGAGTTCTGAATCATGCATAGCCCTCGTACTTGAATATATTTTAGGGGATAAAACAGCTTGAATTTCATGTTTCAAAATGGAAAAATGCAGTCATACGTAGAGAAGAGACATATAATAGAACAAAAGCTTGATGATCTGTAAAAGTTTCAGCTTATTTTGCTTTTAGACATTTTCAGCCTATATTTCCCTTAATGCTATGGACTTCTGAGGAGGATGTCTATGTAACATATATATATAAATGAATATATAAAAAATAGGCTTATAATTATAAAATATAAAGCTTACTCGCAGGTTTTATGTCTTATATCTCACACACGTGCTATTCACTCCACAAGGAAGTAGTGGAAGAAAGGATCAAGTATAACAGATGCTAGATCATTCCCTCAGTGCTGTACACTCATTCCCTGAGATAACCAAGGTAGTGAAAAGTCTGTGTAATATAAATAGCACAGAATAGCAGAATTCTATGATGTGGAATGAAAAGCAGCTACCTATAAAATCAAACAGACTTTGGATGATACAGATGGTGGATCTGCTGCTGATGTTAATCACAATCCATGTTCGGTGTCAAATTTAAATGTACTATTTTTACAGTTCCCAAAAGTGTGCTGGGTGTCTTCCAGGACAATTAAAAGGTATGGGCCATGATTTGCATGTTTTTCAGAACTTGGCATGACAAGTGAGAACAACGAAAGGCATTGAGGAGATAAATTAAAAAAGAAAATAGAATACTAAAGCTAAGATATTAAGTATCGCAAAAGACAAAAGGTTAAGATTTTCTTTCCACAGCAATACTACTTGTATTGCGTTGCACAGTGTATGCAACTACAGAAACCATAACTTGTTATTTTCTCAATTTCATGAAGAAAAAAGAAACTCAAATACTGCTTTTGCTCAGTGTAGCAAAACAATATGCACTTTTGCACTAATCAAAATTGAGATTAAGATACTCTTGTAGTAACATAGGTTGTCATGCTCCATACAAAAAGACATGAGAAAATCTGGTAGCAGTACCTAATCCACAATGATTAAGTTTAATGGTGACCAGTCTTTAAATGAAAATTCTACTGATAATACTGAGTGTAGTACTTTTCAAATTCATTTAGGACATTTATGTGGTCTATTTTTCATGTTTCTGCATTAGATGCATTTCAGGTCTCCAATGACATGAACACTAGAGCTCTGCACTGTGACTTTAAGAGGTAAGCGCCTAACAGGAAGAAGTGAGAGCTCCCAAGGCAACTCCTACCTACACTGAAGCAGACTACAGATTCTCATTCAGTCATTTTCATGACATCACTACAAAGCACTGTCTCTGCAAATACCTCCATGAACAAAACTGATGTTAGATAATCATCTCAGCAGATAGGGAAAAGACAGAAGACAGTATTCAGTCATACTCGCTAACTTGGCCAAAGTAAGTTACAGCAAAAATTAAGTGAAAGGCTTCAGTTACTTATCCTTTGAATGCTATAGGTAGCTTTAAACAAGTATGACACAGACGTACTCTCAAGCTAGCAGAAGTTGAATTTAAGTCTGTAGTTTAGAACACAAAATACCAACAACACAAATGGATTTAACCTTTAGTAATCCTTTGTGACAACTATGACAACGTGATATCCTGCACAAATTTCTTCAGACAAACAGTAATCACTAGTATTTCAGAAATTCAAGAGAAGAATAAGACTATCACAAGGAAAAAACTGCAAAATGATGCTGTTATTAGAGAAAGACTGCAATTACAGGGGTAAACAAAGTACAGCTGACTGAAATAAGTTCAACAGCAAATACAAAGACATTAGCAGAAATTCTGCTATAATCTGGCTACAAAGGCTGGGTTAAAAAAAAAAAAAAAAAATCACAAGATTATATGAATACTTTAAAATCCAGCTAAAGATGATTATTACTATACTACTGTAGTTACAGAAGGAATTGACTTTTTAAATAAGCACACAAATATATTTCACAACAGATAAATAGAATTATATGAAAGTCTCTCAGGCTACAAGGAGATAAAACAGTATAAGCAAAATAAAGAGATGAGAAGGAAAAGAAGCAGAAGAAAAAAACAGAAAAGTGCAGAAGAGAAAAAACAACTGTAATCTCCATCATAAGGTCTACTTACTGTAGAAAATAACTGAACTGCAATTTGAATAAATAAAGATTTTTGCCAGCTCCCTCCTTTTATCTCATTTTATTCACAACTTCTAGCTTGCTTGCCCTCTATTTGCTTCAACAACACTTAAATTCAATTTCCACTTCCTCACAAATTAGCTTCCCTATTTATAGCATTCCTGAGCATGTTTATGCACTACAGAAAACCAGTAGATAGGAGCTTTAGGGCATTCATAACTTTTCCCCAAGCAAAAATAACAACGCATATATAATAACCAAATCATCAAGAACAAGCACTTAGTCAAGATTATGACTCAGAAAATATATTATTTTTTTAAAAATTTCATTGTCACAAATGGGTAGTGGGCAGAGAAAGTGCGTGGTGGAACTTGATTATTTACCACTTGAGGTATCCATAGCAAAAGAAAGCAACATAAACGAAAAGGATGTGGGCACTGCTCACAAGAACGTATGAGTTGATAACGGACAACAACTTCAGTATTCGTCTTGCTCTGCTGAAAACCCAATTTATATTTCTTCCCTTATCAGAAAGAGCTTAATCCATCATCAAACATGGATAAAGGAGAATTTCCAGTATTTCCTGTTGAATATGTTCTGCCTTTTTACAAGACACTTAAATTTTCCACTGAGCCATAAAAGAATGATGTTATAAATTAGTGGATTTAGCAATGTTGTGCACTCCCATTCATGTCCCTTAACATGCAGCACATCACGAAGCAAAGCAGAGTCAACAGACAATACAGAGAGAGCAGCTCACCCATGCACGCACTACAGGATAGTGTTTAGAATTCTGTTTGGAGCAGCAACTTTAATGGTGAATATGAACTGATAAATGAGGTATACACTGTACATTTATTGTAGGATCTGACTTCACCAGAATGAATATATATATTTTTGATTCAGTTTCACTTCATATCCCATAAATAAATGCACCTATCCCTTCAGTCATGTATGATGACATTGGAAAATTGTCATTCAGAGAAGGAACCAAATCCACTAGGCAAAAAGGGGAGCACCAATACATGGAAATATTTTCACATTCAAAACAAATCTAAGAACAATTTCAAGCAATTAAACTATTCAGATCTATTTATCTCCATTCTAAAGTTACATCACTATTTCTGTTATTCAAGGGCACTACATAAGAGGAATCATTTAAGTATAGAATACAAATAATTAACAATTGACTTGAATCTTGAAACTAAAGAAAATTTAAGAAATAATTCAAAATGATCACATATTTTTACAGGTATTACCTGTTCAGTAATTGCTAAGGCCAGTTTCCTTTTCTGTCTCTACTTCTTTTCTTCTGTTGGCCTCTTCCTCAGTCCTGGAATTTTTCCACATTCTCTGTTCCTCATTCTCTTTGCCTCTACTTTTTTTCTTTTTTCTTCCATTGCTCTTCTATCTATAACCCTAAATCATGCCTGAATGAACTGAAAGGAAGAGGAAGGAGAAAGCAGAAGGAGAAAGGAAACGGTATTACAGCAACTGCAAGGCTTCTGATTGAGTTCTGAAACTCAGCCTTTCTTCAGTAAAACACTTTCATACTTCCATAGATCTTTTCAAAATGGATAGCAACTACTGCTACTTCTAGTAGACTCCACAAATAACTTGCACGGACTCAAGACATTCTCAAGCACTTAAGCAAACAGTATGAACTGCAAGGCTTCGGGTTAATCTTACTCTACCTCATAACCTGGCTGAAGTTGTTATTATTTCTGTTATCTCCACCCTCTGAAATTCCAAAAGATCACATTTCTCCTCCAAAGCATCGGTAAAGTACACCTGCCGGCTGTAGTGAGTGGCCATCAGCCTCTCCAGGCCACGTTGCTTCAGCTACATGGTAACATCTCTCAGCAGGAAGCAATCGCACAGGTTAAAACCATACCAATGTACGTGTCCATGACTCCCCTCACCCTGTTAATCATGGAACTAGGTTCAACCAGCCCATAAACAATTGACACTTGTTTTTTTACGTCTGAATTATGCCTATCCATTTTATATTCAGAAAAGACTAAGTTAGATTAAATAACAATCAATACAATGTTCAGATCTGTCCTTCAAACTCAACTTTTAAGATTATCTATGGTCTAATGTTCAAACATTATTTGTTTTTCAAGTTTAAAATCAAAACTCCACATTACACAAAGATATTACTGGGAAAAAAAAAAATAAAAAAAAAAAAAACTGGTTTTTTTTGTTGTTTTTTTTTTTTTTCTTGATCACAAAAAAAAAAAAAAAAAGAAAAAAGAAAAAAGAAAAAAAAAATTCAGGATGAAATAATCTTCAGCACATTCTTCATGCAAAAATAGCCCAAGTGATCTGAACTGTTGGAACGTACCTTTGCTTCCAGAAAGGATATGAAGATTAATGTTCTCAGACTTAGGCTAATCCACCTAAAAAACAGAGACTAATAACGAACAGCACTATGAGTTATCCTAAACTAGCTTCAATACACCTTTAACTAAAATGCAGAGAGGATATATAGGTATGCAAGCTCTTAAAGCAAAATGAATGACCGTCTTCCTAAACATAAAAAAGCCAGTAACTGCTTACTGCAGGTGTGGTGCTTTTTTAGTAGTTCGTTGTTCAGAGTGGCTGCTACAGTAGAAGCATGCTGCTTTTTTGGCATACTTTAATCACTACCCTCTTGCCACATTTAAAATTCTGAATTTTTCTTTAATTTCAAATTACAACTACTCTGAAATGTGTTTTCCAGTTCAGAGACAGCAATCCAGAGTACAGTAAAGTTTTCTGGAAGGAAAGAGTCAAGATGCTAATGAAAGAGAATAAAAAAATGTTTTAAGTCCTAAAACTACTAAATTAGGAGAGTTCTCTTCCCATTATTCCTCCTTCTAAGACACTATTAGAAAACAAAACAAAAAAGATATTTCTTCTTGTTACCAGATTAGGTTTGTGCCCTTTTTGTTTCTCTTATTTATATACCAACATTTACAAAGCAAAGTCACAAAGTCAGTGTCTACTCAGGTTAATATAACCACTAATACAATTTCCTCGAATAACAGGAAAAAAAATCTACAGATGGATGCTTAATTTGAATAAGTCACTAACTACTTATGAAGCATAAGTATTAGAAAAAGGGGAAAAAAAAACAACCTTCATAGAAAGTAGGAAAAAGTTCCAAGTCAAACAGACATTATAAACAAGAATTTCTGTATATTATGGCATACCAGAATACTTTTCAATCTATTTGTACTCAGAGATGATCCAAAATTCACTACAGCTACAGCATCTGGTCTATTTTAAGTGCTTACTGAGAAAGGAGACTGAATAAAACACTTTAGGACTGAGTCTGATCAACTCTATGTTGTTACTAGTCTAAGATAACATCTAAATGGTGTAATAAATATAAAATATTTCTATGGCACAGCAGAGTGGAACAAGTTTCCAAAATACTCAACTCTTAATTTCATACTTTCCCCAAGAGCAAAATAATTCTGTCATACTTTCCAGTGACTCTTCCCAATTTTAACATTACAGAAACTTTCTTACACAAGTGATGCCACCAGAGCAGCTCATTGTGTGCAAATGGGAAACAATAATCTCGAAGTTTCAAGTAAACATCCTGTGAGAAAGACATTTCATTCCAGATTTGTCTGCTATTGACCCAACTGCTATTTTCTAGCCCTTGCTGGAAATCTGCAATAGCAGTAGCCAAATCATTCTTTTAAAATCAAATCACAAGTAAAAAAAGAGTGAGGAACACAGAATGATTTTTCTTCAGTCTGTCATACATACAGTTTTTTGTGTATATTTATAATTCAGTATTCCAGTTTTGTTTAAACAAAAGGGTGTCTTTCAGAAATCCATAGTATCAGAATAGCACTCAAGATGACATCTGTTTAGCTCCCTGCACAAAATACTTACATCAACTCTGACATATTTTAGTTTTATAGACCATTCATATGCTCAAGACCACACAGCTCCAAAAGCAGTATAATTCAATTACATTAGAGAAACTTGAATTTTCCAGTGCTGCAATGTAAGCCCATTACTATTACAATAGATCACCAACACAGAAAGGAATTTTTTTCCTCTAATACATCTGCATTTGTGACCTTTGTCTTCTTAGCCCTTTTCAAGTTAAGTAATAGACCTTCCCCCCAAGATAATGTTCAGTTGCTCTCATTATTCCCACCAGATTCTCTCCAGTTGGTCCACAGCTTTAAGCACAAGTGGACTAGATGATCATAGAGGCCTTTACCAGCCTTAATTATTCTATATATATAAATGGAAGCTGTATGCTACCTAATGCCTTAAAATTGCAGAACAGAGTTAACAGGATTGCGTATCTCATCCTGAGGCTATGTTCCCTTGTATAAGATGCTCCAAAAGTAATGCCTCCTATTTAATTAAATGGAAACTGCAACCGTTTTATTGTGCTCATTATACCTATCTGATAGAACAAATTCTCAGCTACAAAATACTGTTTTTCAACACAGTCATCATCATTAGCTATACGTTTTTACCAGAACCTGTAGATCAAGAACCTGTATGCCACACTCAAAAATCTGCACCAGCAGAGGTGACCCACTTTCACAGCTGCTATGACAGCATAGTTGTTAGGAAAACATTGCCTGTGCAGTCTATCTTTTACTGGCCTGAACAGACAGAAATCAACTAAATCTCTACTCTTACAGTGAGTGTGCAAGGACAGTGCAGCCAAGTCTGACAGTGTGTTCTATGGTCTTCAAACTAATATGGGGCCCGGCATTACGGTGTTGTAAGTAAAAGTTTGTAATCTTCTCCAGCCTGACTCCAGAAGTTCTAGCCTCCAGTTTAGTCAGTGTCACAGGATAGCAGTCAGAGTTGATGGTTGGTCCAGGTTCCAGAAAACTGAGAAGTGTTAACTGCTTCATATCCCAAAAAACATTTTATGCACTGAGACCAGTATCTTGAAGCTTCTCTTCAAAGCAGAATTCAGATCTTGCCACTCCATGGACTGACATTTTGACTGCAGCTCATAATGGTCAATACACATCTTGCCATCACTAACAGTGAGATCCAAGAAACTCACATTCAGCCTCATATAGGTTCAATAGGTCCTGCAAATTTGCATACAGTGCTCTTTCTGTTCCTGAGCAAGTATTCAGGGGACTCATCTGGAACAAATTTTGCAATATTCAAACTTTGCAATCATCGTTACCAATGCATGGAAGTTGATATTCATCTCCAGACACAGTTTCCCTGGCCATAATACATGGAAGGATTGACACTGGTCAAGCTACAACATGGAGTGCTGGCTCCAGCTCTGGGCCACCCAGTATACATTGGAATATACTGGAAAGAACCCAATCCATCCAGTCTCCTCCTTGGAGATCTTTAAAAAGACATCTGGATGTGGTCCTGAGCAAAATGGCATAACCAGTCCTGCTTTAGCAGAGAGCTCAAAACAGATGGCCACCAGAGGTCCCTTCCAGTGTCAGCCATTCTGTAATTATGTGATAGACAAGTATCACAGAATAATATCTGAATTTCAGAATGGATTTACACTTTCAGAAATGCTATCTATGCAACAAAATTTGTAAAATTCCTTCATACACCAAAGTATCAAAACAGCAAATATAAATAATTAATTGGGAGACGAATATCAAGGTGGTGAAGGGAAGGGCCTCAAAAGGAGAATACTTTTGAATAAAAGGAAAGATAGGTTTTTTGATCTAGGTGTTTTGCAGGGCAGGATACTGAGGTTGTAACAATAGAGACATTCAATCTTTGTCCTGTGAGATAAGTAGTTTACACTTCACATTTATTTATTTACTAGACATAACAAGAAGCCCTAAAATAGCTATTCCAGAATACATTTCTTATTAATGACTACATGCTGTTTATAATGAATTTGAAAAAATAAAAAAATCATGACACTTAATAGCATCCATTATTTAATTGTCACAATCTCTCAGAGGTTTTCAAGATCCAACACACTGACAAGATCTCACCTCAGCTACTTTTTTGGAGGAGTCACACATGTTTCCAGAAATGTATAGTCCAGAGTATATTTACCTCTATTCCAGTGATATTCGCCTAGTTATTTCAATATTCTGCTTTGGAACTTCCATTATGTGAGACAAAGTTTTTTTGTCTCTCATTCCTATTCTTATAGCATCACTATGTGCAAATTATGTAAGCTTCAAGCACAGCCCACAGTCATACCCACGGCTATTTTAATCTTCCGAAGCAGATTTAAAATTGAAATTCAACATTCTCCTATTTTCATATTCTATTTACTGAAAGCGATTAATTTGTTTGCTTGAAGTTTCCAGAAAGCTCTCTTGTAACTGACAAGTGTAACAAGTATCTCTATAATTCTGAGATTATATCCTTTCTTGATGTTTTAGCTACTTAGTGGTTTGCCTTCCTGATTCTTTATAAAGATGACTACAGTAAAGTTAGATGATACATACTAACTTCACCTCTAAAATATGGTGCCACCAGGAGATGCATGTAAAAATAAATGTGTTCTAAAATATTATCATATTTATAATTAAGTGGATCTTAGACATAAACACACTTTGTGCACAAACAAAATTTGACTTTGTTTGCTATAAATATTTCTGTATTATCATCTCAATTTATTCTTAAAGTCTGATCAGTTTCTTTTGTTCTGAAAGGACTTCCTTATGCAATCAATTTTTACTTTAACAGAATGCTCCATAAATCATCCATAATAATACCAAGGACATTATAAAACTTTGAAGTATAAATTCCAAGCTTAGCAACAGCATATTGAATGTTAAGATATCGGTCAAATACATCTTCCTACCAGCTCACAGTAAATAATAAAGGAAATGGATCCTTTTCTAATGCAGACAAAATGTGGATCAGCATTATATCAGCTACTTTAAAATTTTAAGACATTTATTTCCTCCCCCTACAACACCCAGGTCTGTTTCACTGAATCATCCTCTAAATAAATGTCAAATTAAAATCTAGTGAGGAAAAGAAACAAATCTGTATATTGTTTACATAGCAATACATTCATCTGCATGATGTAGAACTTTATGACTTAAAACAATGCAACAGAATGCAAGTAACAAAGATCTTCCAGGAGATACCAGGGGAGCTCATAATCATAAAGTCATCTCAGACAAGGATAATAAAGATATAGTTAGAATAAACAGACTTAGTTCCTTAGTGAAATGGGGTAAATCACAAGAAGAAAAATCTAAATGTTAGTAAGATTAGGGTACAGTCATCACTTGCAGACAATGCAGAGGAATTAGCAGCGAGATAGTCAAAGTGTTACAGTAATAGAATTAGTGGTCATGAAGACCTTTTGTGATGCAGCATGTATTTCCAAAACATCATTTGAAAAAAAAAAAAAAAAAAAAAATCTAAGAGATGCATCGGAGTTTGTTCTTTATTTTACAAAAAT